TAGAAACAACGAAGGAATCATAACAAAGATAAATCTGGTTCAGACGCAAGAAACGTTGTCGTTCCAGCCTGCAACTTGTCCGGAAATGGAAACGTTTTCCTGTGTGCAACATTCCTTCCCCAACCGCCCAATTGCTGAAGCCTTGGAAGATAGAGAGTGAGGTGAGGGGGGAGGGGAATAAAGGGAGGGGGAGAGTAAGAAGAGAGGAGGTGTGGGGTGAATATAGGGCGAGGGAGGGAGGAGGGGAATAAGAGGAGCGGGGAGGAAGGGAGGGGAGGCGAGAGAGGAAGGGGAAGGGAGGTTGAGGAATAAAGAAAGAGGGAGGTGAGGAGGTGGAAAATGGGGAGCAAATAGGAGGAAGAAAGGGATAAAAGAGAGAGAAGAGAGAAAGAGATTAGAGATGGAGAGAGCACGCAGGGGAGGGGGGGGGTCATAGAGGCAAGACCTTGGAAAGATTAGGGGTATAGGGAGAAAGAGCGAAAGAAGGGGCACAAGAGGGAGAGAGAGAGAAGAAAATCAGACAGACGACGACAGAGCGTCCTCGAGTCTGCCTCTCTCGTCAGCCACCCAAAAACTGGCCAAGTGTGTCCTCCTAGGCGACAGGTGGTCAATCATTCTTCATGTGTAGGACCCCGCCCTCCCCATCCCCATCTTCCTCTTCTAAATCCCACTATGTCCTCTCACCGGCCTCCCCGTCCCTCTCTTGTCGAATTCTCTCCTCCCCCCTTGTCTTCCTCCTATCACATACCAGTCCCTCCACTGCGGGTCCCTTTTCTTCTCTTAGTCCTTCACACACATATAGTACGCATCTATATCCGCTCAACCGTTCTCGGTACCCACTATCCTATCCCCTCCCTAGTGCCTCGATATCCTCTCCCCCCTGGGGCCCGCCCTATCTGAGTGCCCATCTACCTTCACCCCAACCCAATACCGCACCTACCCCTCATCCTACTCCAAGTCTCCCACCTATTCCCCCCCCAGAGACCTGCTACCTCCCCCATACATCCCTCGTTCCATGCACCCACCTATTTTCCCCCTAGTTACCACCCCAGGACCTACTAACCCCCATCCTCCATACCCCCCAATACCCATCACCCCCCCTCCTCCCTCCGCCATAGCCTCCCCAATACACAACCCTCTCTCTCCTCGACCGCCCTCTCCCCCCTCCCTCCTCCCGGTAACCCACACCCCCCATACCCCCCCTACGTAACCGCGCCACCCCGAGACCTACCCCCCCCCCCACGGCCTGCTATTAACCGGGAAGCGAGAGAATAAGACGTTTGCGGTGAAATTCTTTTAGAAAAAACAATGCTAAATTAGCCTCAGTTGTTTTTTTTTTTTTTTTTTTTTTATTACGGAATTGTGGGGTTCCTAGGCTTTCACTTTGTCCTTACGGGCATCCGGGTGTTTAATTGGAAGCGCCTATTTCGAAGGCGTATTGACGACGGTGTTTTTTTTTTTTGTTTTTTTTTTTTTTTTTTTTTTTTTTTTTTTTTTTTTTTTTTTTTATTTTTTTTTTTTTTTTTTTTTTTTTTTTTTTTTTTTTTTTTTTTTTTTTTTTTTTTTTTTTTGTCCTTCGATGGAGGGTGTCGAGGAATTCCGTGTCGTGGAATTTGAAAGTTTTTTGTTTTTTTTTGTTTTTGTTTTTTTTGTTGTTGTTTTTCTCTTTATGTTGGTTCTTTGAGTTGTTTTGTTTTATATTGAGATTTTCGTGTTTTTCTTTTTGTTGTTGTTGTTGTTGTTGTGTAAAAGGAAATAATTTCAATGTAAGTAAGATAAATAAATGAAGATTTAAAAAAAGACATTTTCATTTTACATTTTACGAATGAGAAAGACAATTTCCTTTGTCTAAAAAAGAAAGGGTGGAATTATTTTAATTTATGTAAAGCGAATAAAATAAACACGTAGAAGACACAGCGCAAGCCTGAAATAAACTGTTCGTAATTCAGGGTGGAATAATTGGTATAACATGAGACGCAAAAAATGGATATTGTTTCGTCTACATGTTTTTATTTCTTATTCAATTTTTCTTCGTCTTCGCCTGACAACAGCGCTTGCAGTTTGGATTTTGAAAGATGAATATTTGTTTTGGGTTCTTGTCATTTTTTCTTGTCTGTTTTTTGTTGTTGTTGTTTTGTTTTTGTTGTGTGTGGTTGTTTGTGTGTGTGTGTGTGAGAGAGAGAGGAAGAGAGGGTAGAGGAATGAAGAGAGAGGAGAGGAGAGAGAGAGAGAGAGAGCGAAGAGAGAGATACAGAGAAGAAGAGAGAGCAGAGAGAGAGAGACAGACAGGAGACAGAGACAGAGAGAGGGGAAGAGAGAGAGAGAGAGAGAGAGAACGAGAGAGAAGAAGAGAGAAGAGAAAGAGAAAAGAGATAGAGATAGAGATAGAGAAGTAGAGAGAGAGAAGATAGCAGAGATAGAGAGACAGAGTAGGAGGAAAAGAGAGAAGGGGAGATAGAAAGGAAAAAAAAGCGAAACGAGGTTTTAAAAAAAAGGAAGAATGTTCTCTCTCTATATGAATGCAAATGTCGCGTGAAGTAATTAACTCACACTGGATAACCATGACAAAGGTAAGAGCATCAGCTGTTTCGAGCTGTTGTGGGAACTGGGGGCGAGGGCCGGAGGAGGAGAGGGAGGAGGGCGGAGGAAGGGATGGGGAGGGGGGCAGTCCAGTTCCACTTGCTTTCTCTTCTTCCGTTTCCTTGCTCTCATTATCTTCTTCCTCCTTTATCTCATTCTCTTTTCATCACTCNCGTGCGTGTGTGTGTATGTGTGTACGCAAGCAGCTCCCCCCCCCCCCCTCTAGCAGCTGGTCGGGGCTCCCTTTAACGTCTCAGGGTTACGTGAGGAAAGTTCGAGACGTCACGCCCGTGGTTCACCTCACCCCCCCCTCCATCCCTCCCTCCCTCCCTCTCCCCCTCCTTCCTTCCTCTCGCAAATTCTCTCCTCTCCCTCCTGCGTCTCTTCCTTTCGATCCTCCTTCTTTCCTATTTCTCCATGTCTTTCTCTAATTTCCCATGTTCTTACTTTTTCTTCTCTCTTTCATCTCCCTTCTTCTGCATTATCTTTCCTCTACCTTCTACGTTCTATTCCATCGTTTCTCTTTCCCTACTCTCCTCTGCCCTTTCTCTCTTTCCCTCTCTCTCTCACCTTTCTCTCTTTCCGTCTCTCCTCTCACCTTTCTCTCTTTCCCTCTCTCCTCTGCCCTTTCTCTCTTTCCCTCTCTCTCCTCTCACCTTTCTCTCTTTCCCTCTCTCCTCTCCCCTTTCTCTTTCCCTCTCTCCTCTCCCCTTTCTCTCTTTCCCTCTCTCCTCTCCCCTTTCTCTCTTTCCCTCTCTCCTCTCCCCTTTCTCTTTCCCTCTTTCCTCTCCCCTTTCTCTCTATCCCTCTCTCCACTCTCCTCTCTCCTTTTTCTCTCTCCCTCTCTCCTCTCCCCTTTCTCGCTTTCCCTCTCTCCTCTCCCCTTTCTCCTCCTCCTCTTACGCCCTTCCTCTTCCCTCCCGTTTTACCCTGTCTCCTCTTCCTCTCTCTACTCTCCTCCTTCGCTTTCCCTCTTCTCCCACTCTCTCTCCTCTTCCCAAATCTGCTCGCCTTCCTCTCCTTCTCTCTCCCCTCCCTCCGCCTTCTGCACTTCCTCTTTTCTTCTTCCTTCCTTCCCTCCCCCTTCTCCATCGTCCGTGTCTTCCCCTACATGCTACCCCTCCCCCATCTCCCTTACTAACCCCCTCCCCTGCCCTTCCTCCCTTCCTTCTCGCTAGCTCCGCCCCTTCTCCTTCCGTTGCCTGCCAGACGCAAGATCACTTCGTACATCCTCGTTGAAGTCTCCGTTCGCTATTTATTTATTTATCTTATTTTTCATTATTTTTCTTTGTTTAATACCGTTTTTTGGTCGTCTGTATAAAGTTATTATTACTGTGGCTAATTGTATGCTAATTCATCATCCTAGTTTGGTGTAAGTGCAACGACTTCGATCACTCCCGGGTGTGTGTACGTGTGTGTGTGTGTGTGTGTGTGTGTGTGCGTGTGCGTGTGCGTGTGCGTGTGTGTGTGTGTGCGTGTGTGTGTGTGTGTGTGTTGTGTGTGTGTGTACGTGTGTATGTGTGTGTTGTGTGTGTGTGTGTGTGTGTGTGTGTGTGTTGTGTGTGCGTGTGTGTGTATGTGTGAGTGTGTGTGTGTGCGAAAACGTACACATATATTAGTTTTAATATAACTAATTGCCGATACATAGTGTTAAGAACATGATAGTAACGCCAGTGACAAAAAACAAACAAGCAAAATAACATAATTAAAAACACGCAAAGAAAATGATGATTTGGATGTAATCAATCAGACTTTCGGTGATGCTAAAGATTACTCCGTTGATGAAAGTAACCAAAACATTAATAATATAAACATGAAGGCTTATATCAGCCCTTTAATAATCAGTGCAGGTTAATTAAACACTTAAGATGAATCGAACTCATCGTTTTAGGTGATAATGACAGGAAGGACAACAACGATGACAATGATAGAGCAATGCTTATGACAGGAATAACAGTGATAATGACAATAACAGCAAAGGTAGTGGAAATAGTGGCAATAAAGATAAGAGTGATTGGGATAAAGATAAGAGTGAATATGATGATGAATCTGTGAAATGATAAACCTGACTATGATACTAATAGAATAAAGGACAAGGAAGATGTTAATGATAATTATAGCAACGACAGTGACAGTTACCACTAACAATGCAATAACTATTATGGTAACATTACTCCTATCAGTTATTATTACATACATAAGATACCATGGGCAATTTGAAGATGACAGTGACAATAAAAAATAAAAAAAACAATAAAATAAAAAAAACACAATAACAAAATAAATTCACGTCTAGTTAAATAAAACGTAAATATTCATTATTTTAGATGAAACTGTCAAAAAATTCAGGTGAGTAATCCGGTACAACAACTGCAACCGGAGTCCTCGGCAGCGACTGGCAGCGGCGCGGAACCCCAAAGGAAAGACGGGCGTTATTGCCGTGTGCGCGGTGCGTCAGGGCGGTCGGAAGGAAAGGAGCGTGCGTAATTTTATCGAGAGTGAAATTAAATGGAGGAATTTCATTAGATGTGATTTTCGATCATGTTCTTGTTTTCTTGTGTTTATTTGTCGATTGCGTTTGATCACGTGGCCAAATGACGTAGGTAATTAAGAGATAATGATATTTTAGTGTTTCTTAATTTAAAAAATAATTATATTCAGTGATAATAAACCGGCAGTGACTTTCAATCGAAGTGCCAACAGTGACAACACCACCAACACCTCGCTAAAAAAAAAATACATAATTCCCTTTACTAAAAAAATTAAATAAATAAACAAGCATATAACGCGTTACACCTGCTCTCTGTACAGGTGTCAAAAAAAAAGAGAAAAAATCTTTCCAATTCATTCTCCAGACACCGCCAAGATTCCTTCCAAGGTCTTCTTCAAGATGTGGACTTTACAGCGACCCAGCAAGGACCCTGACAAGAAGTGGAGGTAAGTTACGAAAAAAAGGAAAAAGAAAAAAAAAGTGTCGATTGAAGACGTTTAAATTTCTTAAACATCTTCATATATATATTCTCATTTTTTGGTTGATGAAAATAGTATCCATTCAGATTATTGACATGAGAATAGTATCCATTTTTTATATATATATATTCTCATTTTTGGTTGATGAAAAGAGTATCCATTCATATTATTGACATGAGAATAGTATCCAATTTTTTATAAATATATATTCTCATTTTTGATTGATGAAAATAGTATCCATTCATATTATTGACATGAGAATAGTATCCAATTTTTTATATATATATATATTCTCATTTTTGATTGATGAAAATAGTATTCATTCAGATTATTGATTGATGAAAATAATGTCCATTTGCATTATTGACTGATGAGAATAGTATCCATTGAATAGTTTTAGAAATTGTGTATATATATATATGAATTATTGATTGAAAAAAATAATAGGATTGACTAATTCTGAGATATATACTAGATATGTTTAATATATTTATATCATAATTTTTTGCTTACTTAATGTTATATATGTTATGTTGATATATTTCTACTATGTTATGCTTATATGGTATTTTGAGATTTTTTTGAAAGAGTCCAAGTTCGTCCTTTTATTTTTTATTTTTTGAAATGAACATCCAGATAAAAAAAATACACATATGATTCGGCATTTGATTAAAGAGAAAGGAAGAAAAATCTATAAAGGGGAATTTTGAGAGGAGAGAGAGAGAGAGAGAGAGAGAGAGAGAGAGAGAGAGAAGAGAGAGAGAGAAGAGAGAAAGAGAGGTTTTGAGGAAAGAGAAGAGAAAGAGAAGGAGGGGGGGGGAGGAGAATTAAAGGACAAAGGAAAGTGCGAACAGAGAGAAAAGAGAGATAGAGACACGGATAGAGAGAGAGAGGGGAGAGAGAGAGAGAGAGGGGAAGAGAGAGGGGGGAGAGAGAGAGAGGGGGAGAGAGAGAGAGAGGGGAGAGAGAGAGAGAGGGGGAGAGAGAGAGAGAGGGGAGAGAGAGAGAGGGCAAAGAGAGAAGGGCAAAGAGAGAGAGGGCAAGAGAGAGAGAGAGAGAGAGAGAGAGAGAGAGAGAGAGAGAGAGAGAGAGAGAGAGAGAGAGAGAGAGAGAGAGGAGAGAGAGAGGAGAAAGAGAGAGAGAGGGAGAAAGAGAGAGAGAGGGGAGAGAAGAGAGAGAAGAGGAGAGAAGAGAGAGAG